ACATTTTAAACTTTTTGTTTCCGCATGTATTTTTTTGGACCACCCTAATATACCTACCTTCACATGTTTATACAGCATTGTATGCAGGTATGTAGGTTGAAGCGCCACCCCCACTTTTAAACCGAGACAATTTGAATTTTTTTTTGTTACAATATTTTTTCATACGAACTGAAGTAAACGAATATCGATTAACAATGACAGTGTCAACTGTTATAACAATAGATAGTAAAAAATTAACAACAACAAAGCTGAACTTGCAAAGCAGAAATAAATCGCAAATGCTTATTTGTTCTAAATATAGCTGCAGATCTAAGCGGATCTCTGCAACGCAGAAACAAATTTGTAAATATAAATTAAAGCAGTAAACATAAAGCGAGAAAAAATGATTAATTCTACGAAAAGCAAAAAAAAACAACTATGACGTTTAGCATTGTGACACATCGTCAATTGGGGAATAGCACACGAACAAAAGTAAACGTAATTTGCAACGTCACAATTTGTGTGTCTGTGTATGTACCGCATCTAGTATATTTCAAACCCCAGGGTGAATTGAATTAATGAAGCTAAGCTAAAAAGAGTAACTAGTTTTTTTTTTTTTTAATTGGTTAATATTATAGCTGGTTCTGGCGCGTTCACTCCACTCATTCATGACTCATTTACGAGTTAAGTTGGCATAAACAACGTACTGAATTCGTTATGAATGAATTACGAGAATAACAAATTTAAAAAAAGATTAATATAAGTTAGTTTATTGTATGTACATTGATGAAGTTCCAACTTATTCATTGAGAATTTTTGTTTTTAATAGTTCGAGGCATTAGAAAAAAAGAAAAATAGCTACGCTTTGTTATTGGATTATTTTCAACAATATACAAAACTTAAAAACAAACAATTAAAAAAAGTAAGTGCGTCTGGGCCATACTGGAGAAGTGAAACTTACGTTACATATGTATCTATTTTGTCTCATAACAAATATACATACATACATACATCTGCTTTTGCTTTTATATATATGTATTTATATTTTTTGTCTTTTTTCTATCTAGATCCCTACCCCTACCCCAGTTCGTTCTAGTTACACTTATGTTATTCTGTTTTCCTTTACCTTCGTTTTTATCTTTATACTCTATCGCTAACAAAATCGATAGTAACATCCAACAAAATATCGATAACAAAGCCGATAAAACTATCGATAACAAAGCCGACAAAAGTATAGACAACAAAATCGATGACAACTTCGCTGAAAATTTCGATAAAAAATCGATAAAAATACTGGTAGCAAAATTGATTAGAAAATCGATAACAAAAGCGATAAATAATCGATAAATTAACGATAGCAAAATCGATAACAAAAAAGATAACAAAATCGATAAATAGTCTATAACAAAATCGGTAACAAAGCCAAAAAATAACAACGTAAGAACGAGAGAGGGCTGCTAGTTTTTTGGGTTAAGAAACGTTTTCCAGCAGAAATTAGTGGCAATTTGTGATAATTATTTGTTAAGGAACAAAGATAAAGCCACGTCTGACACGCTTTTTATATTTCTCTTATCTTCTTATTCTTGCACCCATCCATTCGCATAACGCTTATACCATTCCTTTTTCACACTCCTTTCGTAAGCATTTAAGTTAAGAAACGTTTTCCAGCAGAAATTAGTGGCAATTTGTGATAATTATCTGTTAAGAAACAAAACTATTGCCACATTCAGAATGAATAAAGAAATGCAGCCTAAATATTTCGGTACCGAGTATCGAGAGGATTGGGTACTTACAAGTATTGACTCAGCACATCACTACTGCTGTCAGCTCTACTATGACGTCACCAAAACAGCTGATTCTGCCAAAATCACTGAGAGCCGAGTAGCGGTATCGTCATCGGCGCCACCTCTGTATTCTCTCCACCGTGGTTACCACTCACATAACAAACTTATTAAAAACCGTTATATAGCAATTTAAAATATATAACTACTAAGTTGCTTTAATTAGTGTGTAAATTTAAAATTAAGCAGCAAAGAGACGGGAGTGTGATTTGAATCATCTCTTTTTTCACTGCCAATTCGTAATTACAAGTGGCAACGCCATGACCAATGTGAAGGCGGTGTCTGGAGTACCCTAAAATAAAAATAGTACTTACAGTTTATGTAAAATTTTTGACTCTACTTGTCTACTCCGCTTTTCTTAAAACCTGGCCCATTTTTTCACTCATGTTCTGGGACGTTTGTTCGCAGTTAACCCATGATTTTTTCCTTTTGCTGTCGTAAAAAATTTTCTGAAACCACTTATTCTTAATATTAGATAATGTAACAAAATTACGTTTTCAAAACAATCCACATCGCTACCCACGTGATACCCTATTTCTAATACTCGATTGGAGTCTCTCAACGTAGCTTAGGACCTCGGAGTATTTTCCAATTCGAAATTTACTTTTATGCTTAATATCAATTATATAGTAGCTAATTCATTTTCGATGCTTGCTTTTTGTAAGACGCAACTGAAGGTAGTGCCTTTTTGTATCCCTATAATCCTTTTATTTGGAGACCTAATTACCAAGCCCACGTAAACAGGGTTGAGTCCATTCATTGGGTGTTTATCCGACACATTTTCAATAAATTAATTTAATGCCGTTGCATAACCGAAGAATTTTCTGTTCCATTTCTTTCATTTTCGAAATTATTTCCGGTAACATTGATCGCCCCTTACTGCTCAGCCCATGAACCAACTAACAACATCACCCAGCACGGCAACCGTGTATTTGTAATTGCATTTCAGAAAAAAAATAATAGTTGATGACGTCATTTTTTAATCGGTTGTTTCATTCACACACAGGTTTCATTCTGTTTCATTCACATGGCGGCGAAAAAATGACGTCACTGCAAAAAAATAACTTTTTTCTCGCACGCCGTGCTGGGTGATCTTTAAGCTGATGCCAGATAAAACTTTGTAGCTTTGCGTGACATTTATAACTTTGCCAGCAAAGCGCCAAACGCAAAAGGTATGCCACAATGAACGCCAAGAAAACAATTTTGTACCGCTTTTTTACTAGTCAAAGTTGCTGTGGATTTCATATATTTTGCTTTAAAATTATCAGCAATGTAATTAAGTTTTATGTTTCTGCATGAAAACTCGAATTTGGACGAAACAAAATAAATATTAAACTGGCTGATTGTCAAAGCGCGCAAAAAGATGGGAGTTGGCCATCTTTTCGCTTCGCGCTGCAGCTTCGACGATTTATGTGGCATGCTTTGTGCATTTTCATACA